GTTCTAACAGCACTGTCTCAGGGGAACCGCTGCTTTCTCTAACAGCACTGCTTGAAGAGCAGCTGCTGCTGAAACACTGGAGCGATGGCCGACTGAGGGAGGGAGGAGGAGAAAGCCAGCGTCCCTGGTGCAGGGGGCCGTGTGGCATGACCACAGTCCCAGCAGCTGTAGGAGCAGGTGGAGCCAGGCTGGCTCACCTAAGGAAAGCCAAGACCAAGAGGCCCTGCTCATCAGAACTACTATGCTTGCTCTACAACGTGCAGGTTCCGAGACTCCACCATTTGCCGTTGTGAACTTTCACCCTCACTACCAGACACCTGCTCCCTGAAATGCAACCACACCGCAGAGGGGGTATCAGAACTAGAGGGGCCCCCATCTGAAAAGTGCACACCGCTGTGGGAGGGGCTACAATTCAGGGCCTGAAGGGCACAACGCAGGCAAGCCTGCCTCCCCCCTCATCCCCCCAACCAGCTGGAGCCAGTGCTGAGCATCCAGGTGGCCCAGGGTGGGCTCCCGGCCCTTCCAGCTGCGTGCCACACCGTAGTCTGAGGAAGACTCTTCTGGCAAAGCTGCCAAGTGTCCTTAAGCTTGGGCAGAAGCAGCTGGAGCCATGTGTGCCGGCTGTGACACCCCTGCCCAGACTCCTCGCCTGTACCTTGGGGGCATCACCACGCCTCTCAGAATTGTGGACAAGCCCGCCAGCCCCAGCGAAGCTCTGGGCCCGGCCCCTGGCGTGGAAGCAGGCACTGGTATCCCTCACTGGGAAGCCAGGCCCAGTTCCTGCCCCGGGCCATCTGTGACCCAAACTGAGGAACACAGCTGGGTGTCTCCTGGAAGTCCAGGAACAGCCACCTTCCCAGATGTGCTTCCACCTTGCCAAAGGTTCGCCTTTCGGAGCCTTGCCGGGGTGGGTGTGAGGTTTGCCACCTCAGTCGCCCCAGCTCTCAACACCCACTGCAGGTCTGCTTCCTCCGACTTCATCTTGCTGCTCATGACGCAGCCCTTGGTGTGGCAGGCTGTAATCTAATCGGGAAGGTGCCTTTGTGATTTCTGGAACAGCACCTGCCAAGCCACCACTATCTGGGGTCAAATCCTGCTCCTAAATTCCCAGCAGAGTGTCTGGACTTGGTCATGTTCCCATTAGCAATGAGACCCTAACCAAGTCGGATCATTCCCAACCGGCCCCTGAGAGGACAGTTACATGAAAACAGCAGGAAGGGGGGGCAACCTGGGGAGAAGGGGAAAAAGAGTAATGCAAAGCAGTATGTGGACAGAGCGAGCGAGCGAGCGTGTGTGTGTGTGTGTGTGTGTGTATGTGTATGTGTCCAGTCGCCCTGTGACCTGCACCACACAGTTACCTGCTGCTGCTGCGGTCTTGTCACTGAGGAGCCTGGTCTGGCTGCCGGAGACCATGTGGATGTCCAGGCTCTCAGGGGACTGCGGGAGACTCTGAGTGCGGGTGGCCAGCAGAGCATTGAGGTACTGCAGCCGTGTGACCTGGGGAGAGAGCATGGCATGGCAGGTGTGGAGGAGGAGGTCGGAGAGGCCACACCGCCCCCCAGCCCCCAAGCACCAAGACAAGACCGGAGAGGTACGAGATGCTGGAGATTGAAAAGAACTTCGAAACTAGGTGTGGACGAAGAAGAGCCATTGTGCCAAGTGATACTAAGACTTCCCCCATAAAGTGGTGGACAGGCCTGGAGACAAGTCCAGTGGGCCTCGAGGGACCCGGTCACCCTTCAGAGCAGGGGCAAGGGGCAGGGCCTTGCCCCAGGAAGTCTTGGCACAAACACAGCGTTGACTCTACGCCCATGCAGAATGCGACCAGCTGGTCTAGTCCTTGGGACACAAAGCTGGTGGGAAGCCAGCGTCAAGGAGCTGCACAGACGGTCACCTTAATGAACTGCAGGTCAGAGAGGGCCCTCACGGTGTAGTCGGGACAATACGTGGATGAGCGGGTGCCGTCGGCTGGCTCGGGCTGCAGCGAGGACACTGGGGACTGGTGAACTAGTAAGAGGAACAGTAGGAGCTAGGGGTGCGTGCACTGGGGCGGCACCAGTACCGCTTCACCACGCCCCGGCTGAGGAAGCCTGGCCCAGGACTCTGGCGGGGACGGTGAACATGGGCCCTGCAGGGCACAGCTGTCCGGGGCTGGGTGGGAGCAATGAGCCCTTCCCTCCACCCCACCCCACCCAGCAGACCAGAGCCCAAGGCCGCTTGCAGGGAAGGTTTGGGCTCCGTGAAGGGCAGGCAGCAGTCCCGGGCTTGGAGATGCACAGCAGCTCCTGGAGTAGGGGCAGGGTCGGAGCCTCCCAGCAGCTGCTCACCAGAGGACGGTGCGGTCAGGGCAGACACTCCGTAGTAGGTGAAGGCCCCATTCTCGAACCTCAGGCCCTCCTTCCCGATCTCCACCTCAACCCTGCCCTAGGAGGAAGGGGGTGGGGGAGTAGAGAGAACACACGGTGGCTGGTTTATCTTCCCTGTTAGAGGTGAGCGTGAGAGAATCCAGTGATGAACGTCCCTGTTGCCTGGTGGGGGTGGTGGGATGGGAGGGCAGGGGAGGGCCCAGGAGGCGCCCGCCTGGGTACCTGCAGGATGAGGACGAAGTAGTCCACGGGCTGGCTGCGCTGGTACAGGAAGTGGGCGGCGGCCAGCCGGTTGCTCTCGTCGAAGTGCACTTCCTGGTTGACACTGGGGTGCTTCAACAGGTGCAGTAAGACCTTCTCGGAGATTCGCAGCGGGTTGAAGACATCCACCTCTGCCATGGGGGCGGGCGGGCGGGGGTGGTGGGGCGACAGGATGACACACTGTGTCCACAGGATCACACGACCAGCCTCTAAGACCCGCGATGCTAAGGCCCCAGCGGTGCTCATCAGAGGCCCCCTGGCCAGCTGGCCCTCCAAGAGCAGCAGGAAGAGCCAGCATGCCCAAGCTGAAGCTCAGAATCCCTCCCCCAGGGGACGGACGCCTGGGCCTGCACCCTCACCTCGGGACAGGAAGCGCTGGGTGGCCAAGAGCAGCTGAGGCGAGATTTTCACTTTGAACGCCTCGTCAGACACCTTGAACAGGGAGAAGTCCTCCTTCCGCTTGAGGGGGGCACTCAAGACCGCGGGCTTCTGCCTCACCTTGGTGCCACCTGCGGGAGTCAGAAAGGCAGGCTTAGGCACCGGGCTGGAAGTGCAGAGGAAGACGGGCGCCCTGCTTGGAAAGTGGACAACACCGCTGATATGACAGCCAAGCTGCTCGAGCCCACATCCTCAGCCCTGAGAGAGACCCTTGTCCAGGAGGTCTGCACTCGCTAGACAGATAACCTGGTGACCCTGTCCCTGCAGGGACCCAATGGAGGCGTGGTGTGCTGGGGAAACACGCTGGGGTCAGAGCAACAGGATGGAGGGCACAGAGGGGTGCGAGCGGCCTGTGTCCCCAAGGCTGTCAGCCTGAGTTCTGGCCATCAAGCTGAGACAGCGGTCCTCCCCACAAAGCACACACTGTGGATGTTAAAGGAAATCACAGCACAGCCCTGAGAGAGAGCCCGGCCGATGGGGCTGCCTGTCAGGAGGGGGCAGTACTGGCCGGGCAAACAGGGCCAGGCCACGAGGAAGGGCGACCTGTGTCCTCTGGGACCCCTGTGCACCCTCACAACTCCAGGTCGGCTGAGGGGGGCCGCGGGCGCACACTTACGGTGGTCTTCAGACTCGTCCAGGATCTCCGACTTGATGATCTCCTCGATGACGTCCTCCAGGGTGACCAGGCCCAGGACCTCGTAGAAGGGGTCACCCTCGCCCTCGTTGTTCACCTTCTGCACGATGGCCAGGTGGGACTTCCCTGTGGCGAGGGGACACTCGCGTGAATGACTCGGGGCCACAGACCTAGGCTGGGCCCGGGAGGGCTGGGGCTGCAGGGGGGGCCACAGCTCCGGGTCTCCAGGGGGGGGCGTTGCAGCTCGCCCCAAGGACAAGCTCGCTCCCAGCAGGGCACGAGCTGGCAATGATGTCCCTACAGTGTACCTCCTGAAGCAGGTGGCCTTCAAGAGTCTAAACTGGAAAGAGAACTCCTCCCCCCACAAAACCAAACGCATGCCAAGGAGCCAGCTGCAACTCCCAGGGACCTCAAGGCCGTGCAGAACTGTAAGTCTTTGTTTCCTCTGATGGAATGGCCCCAGCCCAAAAGCCTGCCTTTGTCTGGGTGTTTATCCTTGCAGTAGTGGACTCACATTTGTCTGTCTGTGAAGGACTAACCACCCCGCGGGGTAGAAAGCCTCCTCTTTCCTTCCCACTGTTCCCCTTGCTGTTGGCAGGCCAAGTTTTAACCCACTGTGCCACCTGGGCGCGCTCTGCCTTCCTGGGAAAGGGGAGCCCAACAAGACCACCCAGCCTGACTCCCCAAGGCAGGGTCTCCTACAGCCGCCTCCCGGTTTGCAGAAGGAAATGCCAACAAGTGTCCTGCTGGAAGGGAGATGCTGCTGCTGGCTACCGTCAGGCTGGGCCTGACTCACGTGACCCTATGCACCCTTCTGTTGTCCCCCCTTCCGCCCCGGCTGGTTTTCAGAAGCAGAGCACCGGGCTCTTCCTCCTACTCTTAGCCGGGAAGCTCTGCTGAAACCGGCTCGGTATCACAGCTACACACAAGCCTGCGATGCCAGATGGGGTGTTGGTGGTGGTGGTATGTGTGTGCATGCACGCAGATGCACCCGCTGCGGGGAAGGCAAGAGCCTGCCGCTGCCCCAGAGGGTGCCAGTCCCTGCTAAGCGGTCAGGGTAAAGATGAGCTGCGATCGGAAGCTGCCCTTTCCTCTGCTGGAGCCTGGGGTCCCTTACACTTGCTGCCCGTTTCCCTGATTTCACCCATTGCTTTTGGTTTGCTGAGGAAATGTGACTGGGAGAAGCCCGAGCCTCAGCATGCCACTACATTCCCAAGTTTACAATTGCAGTAAGTCAACGTCCATCCTGAAGCCTTGTAACTGTCAACGGTAGAAGAGCGTTAAGCCATACTTTACCATCTTCCCAGTCGCCACTGTTTAGAAAGGAAAAAGAAACGAGGTTAATAATAATATATTCTACTTAACTCAACAATAGTGGGTTATGTGTTGGGCTGTTACCCCCAATGTCAGCAGTTCTAAACCAACAGCCGCTCAGGGAAACAAAGATGAGGCTTTCCACTCCCATAAAGGGTTAGTCTTGGAAGTCCACAGGGGCGTGCCCACCCTGTCCTATGAACTGGACACTATGAATTGGAATCAATTTCAATGGCTGTGAATTCTAAAATTTAATTCAATGTGCCCCAAATATCACTTTCATATGTCATCACTATATATAAATAGTAGTAAATGTTCTGCCCTGCCCCCCAACTTCACAAATGTCAGTCATACTGGTCTCTCTCCCTCGCGTGCCATGTTGCTTTTACACAAGACCTACACAATGACCTGCTTCTGAGAAACAAAGAAATTCAGAGAGGATTTTGGCTTGGGGTGGGTGAGTGGGGTGAAACCAGTGTGCAGCCTTGGGCTGGTTCAAACCAGCAGCCCACCAGCCACGCTAGATAAAGGTGAAGCTGTCTGCCCCTGCAAAGACTGAGTCACGGAAGCCCTATCCGGGCCGCCGTGAGCCGGCATCAGCTGATGGCCGTGGGCTTGGTGTACCCCCATCGGCAAGTAGCCCCGCCGGGCTCCTTTCCCAGCCGCCCTCCCTGACCACCTGTCTGTGGCCACTGCACTGTCCATTTCAGTTTGGGGGTGTGCCTCAGGAGGTTCTGTTTGGGGCTGGGAATGTGCATATAAATGATTGGTCACTGCTACTCTGCGTTGTCATTCCAGTGTAGGAAGGTTTCATGGACCCCCGGGTGGCTCCCCTTATGATCTGCTGTCACCTCCGGCCAGGTCCAGCTATGTCTCCTGTGCCTGCGCTGGCCCAGTCGTGGCCAGCAGCCACGGAGATCACAGCTGGGGGTGAAGGGAACTACGATCGATCAAACCTTTCTCAGCGAGCACCGTTGGAGGACAGAAATGTGCATAGTAGGCCAGGCATGTTCCTGCCCTGCAAACCCTGACCCTTGCTTCCCAAGCTCAACTCCAGAATGCCCCACAGGAAGGGGAGGCTGCTTTAAGAACCTGTTGGTACAGCATAACCTTAAGTCCACTCCTTTCTTTGGGTCAGTCATACGTTCTACACTGTTAGGCATTGAACTGTTCCCCTCCCCGCCAAAATGTCTTATAAATCCCAACCACCCCTAAATCAGTGGTTGTAATTCCACCTCGTAGAGGTTTCCTTCCTTTCATTAACGAGACAAGCTTAGGGCAGTGTGTGTCTTACATCAATCGATCTTGAGATGTGGAAGAACCGATTGAGCAAGCAAGTGCGCAGGCAGAGATGGAGAAGAGAGGTGGCTCCTGACATCAAGATCACCAAAGAGCCATGGGACAGAAGCTGGATAGAGAGAGACAAGGACCTTCCTGCGGAGCCAGCAGGAGAGCCTTCCCACAAAGCCAGCACTTCGAGGGTGAGCTTCGAGCCTCCCACATCACGAGAAAATGATTTCTGTCTGTGAAAGCCAACCACTCCTATTAGTGATGGCAGCTCCAGATATGGCGGATGCCCACTGCATTTAACTACAAACCAGGAGGTAAGTACAGGTGGGGCTTGACGTCAACAGGTCCATTCGGCAGGCGCTGCCCTGTTCCTTCAAGCATGGGCCCTCCCCGAGGTGGCAAGCCCCAGGAAGACTGTGGGGGGAAGTCAGATCCTTGCACTCTCTGCCAGACTGCTGTCTCTTCCCACCACAGGGGTGGGCCTGCTCCCTGCTGCTGGAGACAATGGATTACCTCTCTCTGAAGCTTAAGACCATTAGCCTTGGTTTCTGTAGGCGGCTACACACCCTACTGATAATGGTTCCTATGGAGACCCAGAGTCAAGTTAAGCTGCCACCCGAAATCTTGCCACAAGTATACCCCCAATCCCTCCTCTTCCTATTGCGTGGGTACCCGTAGACCACCCCCTTCCATTACTGTAATACCTATAGCACAACCCCTTCCTGTGATGTGAATATTCACCTGTAATTAGGGGGCTTGCAGGTCCCCAGAGAACATAAAAGCTTGGGGAGCATTAAAGATTTTCTCTCCCTTCACGTGAACCACCAAGCGGGGCTGAGGTGAGCATGCTACCATGACTTGTGTCTGACTCCATTTATTTCTATATTTCTCTTCCATCACTCATGCTCTATAACTTTAATATAATCTTTGCTTATTATCGCTGTACAATTGCGCCTACCAAACCCGTAATGATGTGCTAGGAGCTGGCTTCTCCTGGCAGAAGACCCCATGCCAGATGGCTCAAATGAAAATGAAAAGTCCAGGAACACCTACTATTATCAGACCACTAACCCGACGCCCAGGAAAGGAATAAGGCTGTAAAACAATTCAGAGATGGCGGCGACTCTATTTCAACAAATCCAACATACCACATTGTGGCACACAGCCCAACATCAGAGGTGTTCAAAGTGAAAAAATATGTAGTGGTTCAAACGCCCCCAGGTGCTCGGCTGGAGACAAGGTAAGGCCGTCTGCTCCCAGAGGTTCGGTTTCAGAAACCCTAGGGAGCAGTTGCTCTGTCTGTCCTACAGCCACCGAGAGCCGGCATCAGCCGGTTGGCAATGTGTTTGTGTGGGGGTGGGGGTGGTATGCCACCACAAAGTGATTAACTTATTAACTTGGTAAATTGTCGCAACTCTTGAGACATACGGTATCATTTACCATTCTGCAGTTGAAGGAACCCTGGTGGCCTGGAGTTAAGAGTTAGGCTGCTAACCTCAAGGTCAGCCTATCAAACCCACTAGGCGGTCCCTCAAGGTTTGACCTCAGAAAAACCAAAACGGGCAGGTCCGCTCTGTCCTCCAGGGTCACTGTGCATCAGAACCAGCAGGTCAGTGGTGTGGTGTGGGTTATCTTGCAGTTCAAACCTAGGGCCATGGAGGAACAGAGGGCTCCTAAGCCCATTTCTTTAAACCACCATGCTCAGCTGACTCTCACTGAAAAAGACCCCTCACCTCTGGGGGTCTTACATAAGGTCAAAGAACTCACAGGGCTTTTGTCTAAACAAAACAAAGCATGTTACCCGGGATGCTGGATGCCCCGTGGGTGAGAATAAAAGGGAAATGGCCCCCTATGCTGCCTGCCTCACCCTCCGATAGGAAAAGGCCTGGGACCCTGGAGGACACCCTGCCCTGTTTGTATTGGACAGGCTGACCTCAGCCTGCAGGTGCCATCACCACGAGGTCACGCAGCCCGCCCCACCACGTGACATAAACCTCTCAGGCCAGTTTACGGAGGACAAAGACTCAAACCAGTCAACAGTCTCTTTGACTCTCTTAACTGAAGCCCAGGCTCTGGAGGCTCAGAGCAGAGGGGAGTCACCTCGGCTGCCTGGTTTCAGGGAGCTGGTGGCCCCTCTTCCTAGTGAGTGCAGGAATGAAGAGTCCTCTGATTCCAAGCTTTCTGAGCAGGCAGAAGTCTTATTATCAGGGCCTACCATATGGAGATGACCCAGCAATAAACAAACACAAGTCCAGCCTTCCGAACGCCCCCTAAACCAGCTGCTCCCGTGTGCTGCTGAGTGGATTCCAACTCACAGCGACCCCTCCGTGGCACAGCAGAACTGCGCCTTCCGGTTTCCTAGGCTGCAATCCTTACAGGTGCAGATCACCAGGTTTTTTTCTCCCTCGGAGCCACTGGTGGGTTCGAACTGCCAACCTTGTAGTTAGTAGCTGAGCACTTAACTGTGGCACCACGGGCCTTCTTCCTGAACTAGTGTTTGCGCGATGCATTCTCAAAACAGAACGGGCAGTCAACCTTGAGAAAGCAGTAAGGGAGGAGGTGGGTGGAGGGAGGGACTGAACCTTACTCCTCTCTGAAATCAGAAACCACACTGAAACACGGCGGCTCCTGCCTGCGCCCCGCTCCCCCTGGATGAAGGACAAGCCTCATGCAGTCCCAGGTGAGCGAGCTACAGGTAGTCGCTGCAGGCAGCCCGGAGCTTCCGAAAAGGTCTGTGGGCTGGTTAGCATGCTAAAGATACGCTAGAATTCGTCAGATCCAGGCAGACCCTTCCACAATGCTTAATTTGAAGACAGTCTTGATGCCGCGGGAGTGTCCTTTCCCGCGGTCTTTTTAACGCAGATGTCTGAATATGGTGCAAATGTTCGGCAGAACCACCTGCGTGGGTCTCCTCTCAGCAGCCCTGACAGCCCTCTCTGCCTTCTGCCAAAGGCGCACCAGAACGCACGTGGCTACAGGGCAGAGGCTTCCCAAAGCTCTAGTCCGCCCCTGTATCCTCCCGCGGGGCTGACAGGGAAGGCAAGGGTTGAAGAGAACATGTGCTTCTTCCGACAGCACCAAAGCTCTCTCTGGTGACAAAGGCACACCGCAGTAAATCAGTGTGTCACCGGAAGTCCATACGCTGACTGTGGGGCACCCCAAGCGACAAAGTCCCAGGAGAGAGCAAACAGAACAGGACCCGCCAAAGATACAGGCCGGCGCCCCTCACCACCACCACCACATGCGCTGGGTAGCACGAGAAGGGGATGGAGTTGTAAAGCCTCACAAGGCTGCCAGCTGCCCTCTGTGCCTAAGCAGCGAAATGAAGGCAAAGGCTAACAAGGAAAGAACTTCAGCAAGGGAAAAACAAAGGCGTCTATCTGCCCCAGGACGGCACTGAAGTGGAAGACGGGAGCGAACGCACTCCCCACAATCGCCAGGCCCCTGACATTTCCTCTGTAGGTCCTTAACCTCACCACTGCCTGCGCACGGGGCACTTCTCAGCATGCCGTTAGCAGGCAGCTTCTGGAGCAGTCTGATATAAACAGAAGGGCAACCCACTCCACAAACCCTGACACTGGGTTGCAGGACCTCTGTGCGGTCGGTGGGTTCTCCTAGGCACCCTTGGAGCAGGCGCAATGGGGGCCTCCCCTCTCTACCCGCTTCTTCACACCACCACTTAAATCTGCCCAGCTCGACCACTGGACAGCCAAACAACGCCCGGCAGCTCCTCCCAGGCCCTGCTCTCCTCCAACAAAGCGAGTCTGCTGGCATGTCTAGAAGCTGCAGATTCCGCACCCCCAGATCCATCTCTTGTCCTGGAGTTAAAAACCCTGAACTCATTGCTGGGGGTGGGTGTCATTACCTCTCACTCCCAGTGACCCTGTAGGACAGACTAGAGCCACCCGATGGGGTTTCGGAGGCTGCAATCCTTACTGGAGCAGACTTGCCTCATCTTTCCCCCCTGGAGCAACTGGTGGGCTGGAACTGTGAACCTTTCAGTCAGCAGCCTCACGTGTAACCCACCGAGCTACCAGGGCTCCTTACACAGGTGCTTGCATGGGCCCTTTCTGGGGAAACAGCTGGGAGCACCTATGAGATTTTCTTCAGCGTCTGGCTGGAGCTGCCAACAGGCTCCCCCTGTATAACAGTAATTGCCTAACCACTTTAAGCCCCAGGTGTGTCCAGAATGATGCGTGCAGAGCGCCCTCTAGTGCCTGTGCACAGCAGCAGTCAACGCAAAGCCTTACTTGGGGGCAGGTGCTCAGAGGCCACCTCCTGGTGTCAGAGTAAGGCAAGGCTTCCTTACCTGAGGGTTTGCTCACTCCTTCACCTAATGCTGGGGAGTGGCTTTAGGGTTAATGCCCACCTGGAGTCTCGGGGTGACCCTACCACCACCCGACGGAAATTCCAGGGTGAAAAGCATGGCTGATGGCCCAGGAGGAAACCAATCTCTGGGGGGGCTCCTGCAAGTCAGGTAAGGGGCAGAGGATGGCTGAGGTGCTCACACTTCCTCACACCTGGAAGGGTTCAGAGGCTTGACCTTCAGCCTAAAGAGTTGCTCAGCTGAATCACAGCGAAAGGAGGGCAGGAGAATGAGGAATGGGAATCGAGGGAGCACTTGACGGAAAAAGGAGATTTCCAAAAAAAGAAGGGTGATTAGGTCAATCCTGTAGTTGCTTTTGGTGAAATAAAAAAGACATGTTTTCTCCATACCTGCAGACAAGTATTTTCAAGTTATCCCTTCTCTGGGCTCAGGAAGGCAGCGGTCAATGACCTTAAGCATGTTCTGGAAACACCATAGGTCAGGCAAATTTGACACAAGTGTACAGAAAACCTGGAAATGACAGTCTTCACTTCCTTCTGTTAAGTCTATCCAAGAGTTTGGACCTGCTATAAGGTTCAAGCTCCCAGAAATGGCCTGGGAGAAACAGATGCTGCCGATTGCTTCCAAATCATTTAGCACATTTTTTTTTGGGAAGGGGTCCTGAGAGGGTTGCAATAGGTGAGCTGATTCAGAATATGCATGGCTTGCTGAATAGCTCTCATCTACTCCCTAAACCTCCACCTGATTTGTTTAAAAACTGGGCCCCCTCCCAGGTCTCCTTGCCCTTGGCTCTGGCTGGTGGATTCCCTAAATCCCCGCCCCCCCCCGGGGGTGGGGGGAGACGCTGGCAGTGCCACCCGCTCCGAGGCTTCCCGGCCCAGTTACCTCGCTTGAACTCCTCCAGCACGGCATCCAGCTTGGTGTCATTGAAGACGAAGTGGAGCGGGTGGTTGTAGAAGCGGGTGATGGTGCTGAGCGGCGTGCAGTCCTCGGGGTCCACGAAGGCCAAGTCCTTGAGGTAGAGCATGTCCACGATGTTGGAGCGCTCCTCCTCATACACGGGGATGCGCGTGTGGCCGCTCTGCATGATGCTGGCCAGCACGCCGAAGTCCAGCACGGCGCTGGCGTCCAGCATGAAGCACTCCTCGAGCGGCGTGAGCACGTCCTCCACCGTCCGGTAGCGCAGCACGCCCTTGCTGAGGTCGCTGTAGGGGTCGCCGCCCCCGCGCGCCAGCTCCAGGACGCGTTCGCGCAGCCGCCCGGGCCGCGCCGCCAGCTCCAGCAGCTGGCCCACGGGCAGGGCCA